CTCCAGCTGATGATTGTCCATCAGCTTCTCATTTATCACCACAAGCAGCGGCTTTCCTTCCTCTAGAGTCTCCAAACAGCTACCTGCACCTGCAGGAGAAGCAGAAAGCAATCAGCGTTTGCAGCTGATTGAAACATCGCCCTACTCGCTCCTGAAGCATCAGAGACTCCTGAACGTGAACATTTTATCCCCACAACTTTCCACCGCGGACACGAGCATCCAATGCCAGCTCAGCCCGGTGTCTCACAGCGCGGGCCACCACCAACCTCCCCGCCCGCCCCCAGGAGCACACCTCGGCTACCCGCCGGGTCCCACCTGCGTGGCTTATGACCAGGTCGGCGCTCCGCAGGTCCTCAGCCAGCGACTCCTTGAAGCGGAACACTTCCCGCACGAAGGCCGGGCCGTGCTGAGGGGCGGGCTGCAGCGCGCCCCGCCCGATCTGCAGCACCAGCTGTCGGCAGCCGCGGCTCCGCAGCACCTGCGGCGGAGGAACGGAAGCAGGGGATAGGCCGCGGCCCAGGACTGTCAGCGCCTCCCGTTCCCTGCGGAACGACTCCCACCTCCCGCCCTCCGCGCGGCTTCGCGCTTCTCCCCACAGCCGCCCCGCGCAGGCGCGCGGCTGAGGCACGGCCGTGAGGGGCGGGCTGGGACCCTGCTTCTCCTCCTCCTGCCGTTCCACCTCCTCACCTCCTCGGCCGCAGGGGAGGAAACAGTCGCGATCAGCTCGTCGAAACTGGTAGTGCCCACGGTGACGAAGACGGACTTCATGGCCTGCGACAGCACGCTCCGCCAGCGGTCGAGCTGCGCCTCGGCTGCGGGCAGACGGGCGCCAGAGGGCGCTCCAGGCCCGTCCCGGCACTTCCCAAAATGGCGGCCGGCTGAGGGGCGGCTCCCGCTTTCCAGCTCCGCCCGGTCCCGCGCGGGGGAAGGGGCAGTGCAGGTGCGGATTTTCACAGAAGAAAAAAAGTACATTGAAAAAGGGATTCCGCTCTATGAACTTTTCTCTTCACGTGTTATTTTATTACTTGGGGTCCGCTGTAACCAGCTGTGGGACCGCTCACAACCTGCCGCTCCCACATCACAGCTGCCTGTTCTTTAATGGCTGTAACTGACCCGGGCCAGGAGGGGATCCCCGGGTTTATCCCATCCCTCCTGTGACACTGACTTGCTTCGAGAATTGCTGCCTTTGTAGATGCTACTGCCCCTTCTCCAGGAGTTCAACTCTCAGAATTGAATTTGCTGAGAGCACTAACACAGATACTGCTGCACACTGGTGTAAGTGAGGTCTGGAGCCTCACAGCAGGGACTTCAGTGACAGGATGGATGCTTTCCCAGCTGGAGAGCTGAAGCACCATGGGGAGTCTTGGGTGTCAGACACTGGAAAGCTAACACAGTGAAATGCTCTCAGGAAAACAGTCTCTGAGCTTGATGTTAGTGAAGAAAACATGAGCTATCTAAGTAAGGTAGACTAAGACATACACAAAATAGGAAACTAAGGAATCACCAGCTCATGTCAGTGGGCTTTTGCTGAACTGGTCTCCTCAGCATAAAGATTTTTAATAATTTTGGCTATGTACTGTGCCCAGACCCTCCCCTCTTAAAAAAAAAGATCATAGATACTGTCATAGACAGAGGAGATAAAAATGCATAACACATTCTGATTGCAACTCAGGAGAAAACAAAGGGAAATCAGGACTAGGAGTTCTAATCTCCCGACTTCTTTTTCTCACTTTGCCACTGACCAGTGGTAGCACCTTGAGGAGGTGTTCATCTTTATGCATCTGCAAGGTTGCATTTAGCAGCTTATCTCCCTGATTAGATTGATGCTCATAGAATTAAGTCATTTTAAAAAACATCAAATTCTTATATTTATTTTTCCCTCTTATTTCCCATTAAAAATGGCCTTTTGAAATATGTATGATTGGTATCTGAATACAGGTAGGTTTCCTTACTCCCTATTGCCTTTTCTCTAAGTGCACCTGTTTCTGTTGATGTTTCAGGCAGATCTTACTGCCTTCTTAAGACAACTGATGAAAAGTGCTCCCTTGAACAAGTGCATGTCAGCTCCCTCTGGGCTGTGATTCCAGGAGCCAGGGATAGGAAATCAGGAAGGAGCTGAGAAGGGAGATGGAAGCCTTTTCTGGAAAACATACTGTTCATTGCTAAGCTGCTTTAAATCAGTTGTGAAGATGAAGTCAGTAGTAGATTTATTACCTCAGGTAGATTTTCCCTTTTGATGAAATCCTGTTGTGGAGAGAGAAAATGCTTATTTTCCACACAAATGAAGGAAAACAACAAAACATACAACAAAACAAACGTAAAATGTGTTAAAACATAACTCCTGTTATCCTCTTGCATAAAGGGAACCGGCAGCTTTCTTAAGTGTAACACAGCATATAGTCCTATGAAGAGAAAGCTACTCAAGTTAGATATCTAAATCTATTTATTCCCTGAATTAAGTTTAATATATGCAGTCACAGCTGTATGCATTGCTGAGCATTCCAAGAAGGATGTAGAGAAGATCAAGCCAATCCTGAGGATACCTCTGATTGCCATGTTAATGGCTCATTCACAATGCTCATTAGCCCCCTGTTGTTTCCATTTAGCATAATAAGCTACATTAAAATTTACTTTTTGATTAAAGCAAATGGTACTAATGGTAGACACAGGAAAAGGGTACTTTATCTCGAGAAACATGTTGTTAAGCAGAACAATATCAGTCCTGAGTGCTCAGGGCCTTAGTGGCAGCCACCAGCCTCATGCTGCTCTTTATGCTCTCTCCCAGGCAAAGGAAGCCAGATGCTAAGAAGAAATGCAACACAAGCTAGGCAAAAACCTCACCGACAGGGTGCAGCCCAGGTGCTCCAGAGAAAGGTAACCAGAGCAGCTACAACAAGTCCAGTCAGCAGTTTAGTAGCCATTGGTGAAAATAAGGTAACAAGATATCTCCAAGGTTAAACTGGGAAACCTAAACAGCAACTCAAAAACAAAACTAAGAGGGAAACCATCTCAGTTCTCAACTTAGAGCCACAGCTTTAAGCAAAGCTTCTCCTACCTATTGTATGTCCTCCTACACAACACCACAACCATCAGAGGTTGTGGGATAAAGGTTCCAGGTGAGGCTGGTCAAGTCAGTCAAAACATATTAGTGTCATTTAGGGGCCTGGCAGTGATTAATAGGAAGTGAGAGTCTAGAATGATAGAAAGAACACTAAATTTGCAAGTGCATCAGGAATGAATGCCAACACATCTATAAACCCTTCTGAGAAAAGATAAGGGTTAATGAAATTTTTTTCAATAAGGATAGAATTTAAATATTTTGAAATGCTTTCTTTTCTACTGCATTATTTGATATTTGGTTAGGTTTCTGTAGTTTAGCAAGTTACTTCTTGTTTGTAATTAACATACTGTATAATCAATGGATATTAAGATATAATAATCACAAAATAAACAAAAGAGTTAGGCGAAGTAGACTATGATAACAAAAGAGAATAAATGGAAGGCTTACCCTTATGCTAGGCTCACCCACAAAACACCAGCAGAGCAGATCTCCAGAAGAGATCCTTCCCCACTGGTAGCCAGCTCTTCAATAGGTCTAGGAGGGGTGCAGCCAGGCTCCACCCCTTCTGGCAGCACAGCTGAATTGCCTTCACCTGTGCTCCTCTGGCTGGCTCATGGCTCACCTCAGGTGATCAATCAGAGGTTCAGGCCGTGACTCAGCAGTTCCCATACACATACTATAACTCAGCAGTTGCAGGCTTTTGCTCTGCACAAGTAATATGTAAATCCATCGTGGTGAGGTACATCCATGCATTCATTCTGCAGTTACAACAAGTTTAGACTGGTTGTCACTATTCCTCAGCTATGATCTTGATTTCAGCTATCCAGTAGTAACTTAAAGTTCCTATGAACTAAGGCACTCCCCAGAAAACATTCCATATATGAGCAGCAAGTTGTTTATACTTTTCCTATTTGTTCCTTCAAATTTCAATATGCATATAAGGTAAAATGAAGATGCTTTTAATAGTTAGTCTTTCTGATGCTTAAGTGAGAAATTGGAGTGAAGGCTGCCCAGTATGACCATAAGTTAAATTCCACTTTCTTAACAATGCTTTGGGAGACTCACAATTTAAATGAAATACTGAAAGTTTAGGAAGATACTATTTTATACTGTTTTAACTAACAATAAACACAAGCAGGTCAAGGGAAAAACAAACAACAATCACTACCTCTTCTTCAGAATTTTGGAAGAATTCTTATTATTAAAGTAGTGCTTTTCATCTTCTAAGAGGTAGAAGATCTGATTGCACAAGAGCATAACACTTGAAGGACATTTAACTACACTCAGCAGGTTCCTAAAACAGATCTAATGTTACTAGTCAAATAGCAGCAGTCTTTCAGCATATTCAAAAATATCAGAGTAAGCACCTGTGCAGTTGAAGGAGCAGCACAGTTAGGATTATACTTTACAGGCATTATGGTTGGAAAGATTATCACAGTTAAAAACAAAAAAAAAAAAAACCCAGCCAAAGAAGAAATGTTCACCTATATCCTAGGCTTACAGTAGAAAACTCCAAAAAGGAGGAATCTCTGGAAAAAAGCCCTTCTCTAGGGCCAGTCAGCCCTTAAATGGGGTCTAGGAGGGGTGGAGCCAGGCTGAATTGCCTTCACCTGTGCTCCCATGGCTGAGTCCTTGCCTCAGGTGATCAATCAGTGATTCAGGCTGTGACTCTACAGTTCACATACAGCACCTATTAACAGAGAATCCTGAACACATAATCATTTTTTTTAGACCTCGTGGAAAACATTTGTAGGGAAAACTATTAGGCTGTGGCCTGAACTGACGATTGGACACCCAGTATAGGGGTGTGGCTGGCCCAGGAAGTACAGGTGCAAACAATTGACCTGTGCTTCCCACCTGAGTGGAGGCAGTGGAATGGGTCCACCCCCAACCAGAGTCATTTAAGAGTTAGCCTCTGAGAGGAGATTATCTGGCTGGAAGTCACTTTGTTAGGAGTATTCTGTGGCTAGAGATCCTTGCTGCTACTGGGGTAAGTCAACTTTTTTCTCTATATGTCTATTCATCTTCCTAGCAATGTATTGGCTGATGTTATGGAAATGTTTTGTTGGAAGCAGTTTCACTATTTCATAGGGGTGGCTGATGTTATGTGTGATTTTATTTGAAGTAAGGATTAAAAGCACAGCTATGAAGATATCGTACATTTAGGAGCATGTTTCACTATGTGTCTAGTTCATTTGTGGTTGCTGTTATTGTAAGAGTGCTGAATTTTTCCTCTATAGGATTCTATTTTGTTCATTTGTTTTCTGGATTGAGGATTATTCAGAAATCTCTGAAAAATTTCTGAAGTGCAGAGCGTGTCTGTGATTTCAGAGGGCTGGAGCCTACAGTAGGAGGTTGAAGGAGGTGGGCTTTTTCCCCCCTGGAGAACAGAAAGCTCTGGTCTACCTTAGCGTGGCCTTCCACTACTTACAGGGGGCTTATCAACAGGAGGAAGACTGACTTCTAGCATGAACAGGTAGCAGTAGGATAGGGGGAATGGTATTAAACTGAAGGAGGAGAAGCTTAGATTAGATATTAGGAGAAAATTCTTTACTCAGAGTGGTGAGGTACTAGGAGAGGCTGTCCAGAGAAGCAGTGGATGCCCAGTCTGTGCAGGTGTTCAAGGCCAGGCTGGCTGGGGTTGGTCAGCCTGATCTAGTGAGTGGCAACCCTGCTTACAGCAGGAGGTTGGGACTAAATCAGCTTTAAGGTCCATTCCATCTTATTCTAGCTTGATGTTTTCAATGTGTTACTGAAAAGTAACGCACTGTAGTTTATGCTCACTACATTGTGCTGTTTAGGGACTAGAAGGGGAAAAAACCTCACAAATAATGTTACAGTGGTATAAACTTGCTTTGGAGTTTTCCCTGAGTAATGGTGGATACATTCTGCTTGCACATTGAATTAGGCTCATTAAGGCAGACTTAAACTAAAATGAGTAAGAAAGGGGGAAATATTCATTGAGGGACTTAGTTCCATCCTTATTTGTAATGCAGGCCAATAAGCAGGCTGAGTGCTTATGTATGATTCATTTATCTGTAAGAACTACAGATCAGTCACAGAATGATTTATTTGGAGCTGGTCCTTACAGTTCTAAGGCAGGTAAAGGTCAGGTAATCCAGACATGGTGTTATGCTATGTTGAAGGAGTGAGAGATGTTTATTCAAAAGTATGGGGTCAAGCTGACACAATGTAATCAAGGCCCAAAAGAAAAGTTAGAAGAGGGATGAAATAGACTATATTTTCCTGTGAGAGCTTGTGTCCATCTGTGCTTTATGTGGCATAATTTATATTCTAGTATAATCTTCCCATTACAGCATCTGGGCGAGAGGCTAAAGATGGACTGAGTGCAAGCTGGTTTTTGTTAAGTGCAAGATTATGTATGCTGCTTTCTTTCTCCTTAGCATTTCTTTGAAATGTTCCTGGTTTTCTTTTGATGGTTCAGTTTTGAACACTGTCTCTTTGTATTCAGCTCAGCTTGCCATAGTTTGCCCTGAAAGCTCCGTAATTATATAATTCAAGCATAAGAAAATGCATGAGAATAAACTACTTAATTCACATCTTGCTTTTTGAAAACTACATACTGCCTTCAGTTTGCTCTTGGGGTCTAAGGACTACTCACAGCTGCTATAATTAAACTTAGCCAGCAGAAAAGTAAAGAAACCTGTAAGCCTGCAATGTCTGATTTTGTTTGAAGGAAAGGAAATTTTTAATGACTAGTTAAAACCACAAGCCTGTCTTTCCTTTACTTTGCATTTCTTGTGCAGTACGTTTCTCCTTTTGGCTTGTGATGCAGTGCTGCAGTGGATCACATGAGGTAGTATGTTGTTTCATTTATTTTTGCACCTTTGTTAATCTGCAAGGTAAGTAAAGATGAACTGGTGTTTCTTGTTGACTTCATATACATTTAAATTGAAAAAAATGTTCTCTTTTCCTCTCTCCTCAAGCTGTGATGTGGTTCCTGTGAGGGACATTTCTGTTGCAGCAGGGAACCGTCAACGTTTTGTGGAGTATACTTGAGGGAATTATTCCTTCATATTAACGTGATTCAGAGATGCCTGGTCTGGGAAAATGACAGGAACATTTGTCAAGCAGAGTTAAACTGTATACTTTGAAATATTTCATCACAACACTTCCATACACTTGAATTGTCACTTTATGGGCTTGTTATTTTACAGTGAGGTTTTTAGGCCTGGAGATGCACAAAAGCTCTGACTGAATGTTGACAGTGAAGGGAGTGTTAAATAACCTCTTCCTCAGGGCTGACTAAGAGACGGCAGATACTAAATATCCCACTGGGATGGGAGAATGTGGTTTAGCTAGAGTGAGCATTCTATCACTCCATGATCTGACTGCTCTCTCGGGTTCTTTTTTAAAAATATTTGGTGGCACCCCCTAAAAGTTCCAGATTTTGGAGCTGTGATCATGATTTTTAAGGCTGTATGCTTTCAGAGAGGAAACTGAGGGGGAAATTACTCAAGTGAATCTTAAGGTCCTTAAGACTAAGGAATAAATAATAGGTTCTTGTATATCTGTAACTATGTATCTTTTTATTGCTTCTGCTTACTTTGTATTTAAACAATGTCATGATTTTTTGAATCCGGACTTTTGGAAGCTCTGGGCTTACTATTTCTGTGCCAGTGGAGGTCAAGTCCTACTGGACTTTGCTCCACATGTAAAGCAGATCATCTTTACAATCAGATATGGCGCGTACTGTATGAGTACTTGTTGCTATAGGAAGTGTGGCTCAACTGAGCTGATACTTGATGCCTCTGATAGGCTTCTGCCATGGACGAAGTACTTCTATTATAGAACCTGAATATGGGCTTAATATGAAATAAAATGTCTCAAAGTTGGTCATTTCCAATGAAAGTTGGGAGGTTGTAAAATAAATAATTTGAAGAATATTTCCAATACAGGCTGGTGTACAGACATAGGAGGCAGTCTGAGCTCTACAGCAAGGTGTTATCCTGACTAGATATTGTGATGTCCCTTGGCAGCGGGTCTCTTCAGTTCCCCAGAGAACATCTACTGGTGACAGTGTAGCGCTACTCCTTGGTGTCTGTGGAAAACATGAGCTGCTATTCCTGCCTACTGGCTACCAGCGAGCATCTCCACAGCAAAACACTGTGTGAATGCCTTGCTATTTTAGATCTCTGCATAATCCCTCTGACAACCAAATCTATTAAAATGCATTTTCATCCAGGTGAATCCAACTCCCTGAAATCAATTGAGCATTGTTCTTTGAAAGCGTCTTGTGCTTGTGTGTATGTAATCAAATCCTGAGGTGGCTTTGCATGCGTTCTACAAGCACCAATATACACTCTGTTTCAATTTTTCTTTTTGATGTTCACTTTTAAGGGAATTAGAAGATTGCACTCAAGTGAACATCTTTGTATCTTTAGTAAGGATCTTTGTGTGAATGGAGTCCCTCCCTTTTCCCATCCAATCCCTACTGTACAAGTACATAACATCTGTACGCACTATACATCATAAGAATTAATGAGAAGTCCTGTCTAAGTTTTGCCTTCTGTGTGCTTATTATTTTCTGATGGCTCTCAGCAGCAGTACTTTTTGAAGGCACTTTGAAATGCTCTTTGGAATTCTTCAGGGATTCTGAAGTCACTCTACTGAAAAAGTAGCTTTGGAGGGATATAGACAGGCTGAATATTCCATACAGTATTCTAGTCCTGCATGAGTAGAAAACAGAAAAGCACGGGAGCTGTGCAAACGTGATCAGTGGCATTCATACCACTAGAGGGCTGCCTGCAAATGCTGCACTGATCAAGAGGCATCAAGCATGTAGGCTCTTTTTGTGTTTAGCCATTGTGTTGTGTATTTTTACATTTGCAATTACTTTTCTTCCTTCTCAAATTGGCTGTCAAAACCAAAGTGAAAAACTGAAAACATGATGTGCACTTCCAAGCCTACCAATGGAGATGGCCACCACGGTTCTGCAAGAGGCCTCAAATACCAAAATATGCCATGCACAGAATCTGCTTATCTTGAAAGCAATTATTGTTCAAAATGGACCGTCTGCATCCTCCCCAAGCCTTTGCACCAGTGGCAGGGGTGCTAAAAGCAGCAAAAGAGTTGATTCATTTATTTTTTTGCTTTAATAAGATGGTAAATTATTATTTACATCTCAGTTTTATTGGCACTGGGGATCAAAGTGGCCACTAGATACTTGCTGAAACTGTTGCGTTCAACTTGGAGATTCTTAAAGTCCTGTTGAACCATCTTTTGTTTGTATGTTTATGTAACAATCATGCTGAGTAGTACTGATGAAGAAAAATTTTTGTTATGCACACTTTATTTGTGACCTTTTTTATACCACTGGAAATGCTACAAATATTCAATGCAGAGGCAAAGAAAGATTTATATTATGCAGTAAATTTCACAGAGATGTTAATATGCTTTTTTTAATGTGCTAAGGGTGTACATAGAGAGCGGTGTAACAGATTTCTGTTAACACTGAAGGCTGGTCAACTTTTGAGTGTGCATCCCAGTGCACTGTACAAATACATACTCTTATTTAGGTATCAAAATATGGTAGAATCTTCCTCCATGATTTCTTGCATCATAATTCCAAGATACTATTGATCAGTTTAAAATAAAACTGTTTTGTTAGAACGCACTCAAATATTGGACCAGATTAGTCCTAGGTGTGATTGTATGGACTTGGATCTAAAACAGATCTCAGTGTTGTATTTGGGAGAATTACTATTGCTGTGTGCACTAATGTCACAGCAAGACAGTTTGGGATTATTTTGTCCTTAAAGGAAGTGTTACTGAACTCATTGTAATCCCATTTTCTCCACCATATTGCACGCTTTTGCATGACCACTTGTACTTCCATCTACAGTAACACTGTCTTCATTTCTTTCATGAAAATAAGAGATTCAGATATAGTGGTTGTTCATTTATGTAAGGCCTTGTATACCAGTGTCTCCTGTTAGTGACATTACAGAGTGCTGTTCTTGTTACTGC